CTAAACACAGTGGGAGGCAGGTGCCCCCTCCCACTGTTGAAGATGCACTGTTACTTTGCTGCCATCCAGGGTGGGAAAGCTAGGGGCTGGAGGACGCACAGCCCTTGGAAGGCTCCCAGGCAGGACATGAGTCTGGAGCACAGTGCTCCGATGAGATCTGGCAGAGGCTCATTCTAGCATCTGTTCGGAGTCCTGGTTCTGTCTGGTCTGGCTGCTTGGTTCTTGCTTGCATTCTTTCTTTTTTTTTTTCTTTTTGAGATAGAGTCTTGCTCTGTCACCCACGCTGGAGTGCAGTGGCACAATCTTGGCTCACTGCAACCTCTGCCTCCCAGATTCAAGTGATTCTCTTGCCTTAGCCTCCAGTATAGCTGGGGTTACAAGTGCCCACCACCAGGCCTGGCAAATTATTTTGTATTTTTAGTAGAGACAGGGTTTCACCGTGTTGGCTGGGCTGGTCTTGAACTACTGACTTCAGGTGATCTGCCCGCCTTGGCCTCCCACAGTGTTGGGAGTACAGGCATGAGCCACTGCACCCGGTCTGCCTGGCACCTCGATTAGCAGTGATCCTCCAGCTGCTTTTAGCTCATGCTGGCCACAGTTCATTTGCATCAGGCCCCTTGGTTCTTCATCTTCTAACTGATGTCATATCTCGGATGTCTTTCTCCAACTGATCCTCCTCACCTCTCTGAAACGTGAGTCTCTTCATCAATCAGAGGACTGCCAATTGTCTCCCAAGATCTCCACATTATTCTTTTGTAGATCTTTAAATGCTTAGGCAGTCATATGGCCCAGGGTATGACTCTGTTTTCAGTATCCTACAGGCCATTGTGGCCATGGGCTAAGCTCTGGACAATGGGACAAAATGATAAGAGCATTTTCCAAAACTGGTCTGTTGTTTGTGCACGTGCATGCACACACACACACACACACACACACACACACACTCAGACACACCTGCGCATATTCTCAGCTGGTCATAGTCTCTTAATTGTCACCTTCTCCATGAAGTGTTGCTGACTGTGTGTGGGGAGAAATCACTGTTCCATGCTTCCATACCCACTTGCCAATCATGAATATGAGCTTGTCCCACTAGGTCACGTCCATTACAATTGCAGGTGCATCTGTCTCTCCTGTTTGACTCTGGGCAGTCTCCTATTAATCTGTATAATATCAGCACCGAGAGTTGTGTCTCAGTAGGAGCTCAGAAATGCTTGGGGAGGGAGGAACGCAAGGCTTTTGAAAGTGTGGTTTGTCTTCTTATTAACAAACTGTATTTTTATCTACTTATTTCTCAGTTAAAGGAATTTGCACATCATGGAGGTTAAGATCACTTTTTCACAGTGATGTGACGCCCCTTTATCTAAGCTTTCGAGTGTGCAGTGGACGGCTAAGATCCTCCCGGTGAATCCATAAGAGGAGTGGGCACACAGCAGAGAAACGCCCAAAGGTACTCAAGTGCACGTGAGGCCACATTTCTCAAATTATCCCATAGGCTTCTGGTGCTGGCTTCACCTTGGGCTGATGATAAATGGGTGCTGTGAGGGAGGGAGACAATGCCAGGAGACCATGGATCTTTCAACCTGAAATCATGGGACTCCACAGAAGCACATCACTTGACATCTTAGCCAGAGTGAAGCAAGCTGCAGGGCAGGAACGCTTCAGGAGAATTGTGTCGTCAATGGCCAATCTGCCAAGGGGACTCTCATCGCAAAAGCCAGAGAAGATTCCAGATCAAAGCAAGGGAACACGTCTAAGGAGTAGGCAATACTGGTAAATTTTGGTAAATTAGACTTTCATAAATTTGGTGATATGATCCTCTAGAATTTGTCAGATACAAAGGGTGACTTTGAAACAACTGTGGCTTCAGACTACAAATGAATGTGACAGTCTTTAAGACAGAAATAATATTATAGCACACTGATTTGGCAGGACCACAAGTGACCTTCCTTCCAAGAGGGAGAACTTGGGATCTGACCGGGAATTTCCAAAAGGAGTAATAATGCAGGAAAGAGTAGGAGAGAGACAAAAATGTCTTTGTGTCTGGGGGGTGTGGGGGCTTAGGAGTGGTGGTCTGCAGAGCAAAGGAGAGCTACGGTGGGACAGACCAGGAGGCTGGGGAAGCACACAGATGTTCCTGTATTTTATGATACACTCTAGAGATGCCTTTATTGACATTTTACCAAAGATCAAGAAAATGCTGTTTACCCATATCCATGGAATATCATTTTTTTTAACTCTCCCCATAAATTCCATGAGTCCCCATCCCCTCCTTGTCCTCCCACCGAAGGTCTCTTGTCTTGGTGATGGAAGGCAGAAAATAGGACATGGTTGGAGAAAACACCAGTGTCATTGAGGAGGGAAACAAAAGACAATCTGAATATGTAATGAGCAGATTTAAAATTAAAATGGGATTAGAAAGTTCTCTCTCTCTGAAAGAGAGGACAGTTTAATGGGAGTGTGGAATTGGCAGGGAGAGTTTGCACCATGCCTGGAGACTGGAGCAGACACACACAGAGGTTTTGGGAGATGAAGACTATTCCTGGGAAGGACATGTTCACATCTAGTAAAACATAGCACAGGCCATTTCCATGTCATATTTGGGACAGTAGCTGAATCTGGTGCCCGCATGCACAAAACAAGACAGTTGGCCCCAGCCATAGGGCTGAACCCAGCCTCTGGAATGTGGTGCAAATCAACACCTGAATGAGTGCATCATTAAAAGAACTTGGTCTTCTCAACAGCCCAAACTCCAGAGATAAAGAGAGGCCAAAGGCTTAGATAAATTCCGAGGGTTATGGGCTTACTTAGGAAGTTTGCATTTCATCAACCCAATTGAGAGATTGCAAGGCAAGGCAGTGGCTAAAAATATTTGGATCATCAACCAAAAATTTTAGAGGGAATTCTGTTAACTTTTGTTAACAGAAATGAGGACTTTCTGTGGAATATGTGGCTATGGGGAGGCAAAAGGGAGTAACTTTTTGCCCTTTTCTTAAGCCACACAGAGCCCCATGAGCATTCATTGCTGCAGCACCTCATGTGCGTTGAGTATCTCAGTACAGTGATTTTTGTGCAGAAATTTATTTGAATAATGTTAGTTATCAATAATATAAACATCATTGAATTGTCGAAATCCTGAATTTGTGGGGAAGAAGTTTTTTTTTTGAGATGGAGTCTCACTCTGTAGCTCAGACTGGAGTGCAGTCTTGCAATCTTG